CCTTGTTTTTTGACAAACAATGACCTTTCAGAGGTCAAATTGCTGTCAAGAATATGAATTGGCTGCTTCACAGCAATAACCAACATATTCATATCACTTTACTTATTATGCCTTAGTTAACACATAACCTTGATTGATAAGCACGGAAAATCCATATGAACAAAAATTTTTTAGTTCAATAATCTGTTCCCTCCCAAATTTTGGCAGACATATTGATTAATCAACTTAAATGGAATAATTAATGTACAATAACATTCAGGCAATGCCATTACAGTGACAGTAATTTAGCACATTACAGAAATTATTTTGATACAAGGCGTATTATTAATTTTTATGTTATTAGTTTATTTACATTAATATTATTATTATATTATTATTTATTAGATTCCAAGATATTTTTAAAGAACAAATATTAAATGTCTCCTTTCCCTACAAATGGGCAGAACGAAAGAAGGAAGCTCCACTTTTCAGTCGTCTTAGGCCCGTGTTTTTTGACAAACAATGACCTTTCAGAGGTCAAATTGCTGTCAAGAATATGAATTGGCTGCTTCACAGCAATAACCAACATATTCATATCACTTTACTTATTATGCCTTAGTTAACACATAACCTTGATTGATAAGCACGGAAAATCCATATGAACAAAAATTTTTTAGTTCAATAATCTGTTCCCTCCCAAATTTTGGCAGACATATTGATTAATCAACTTAAATGGAATAATTAATGTACAATAACATTCAGGCAATGCCATTACAGTGACTGTAATTTAGCACATTACAGAAATTATTTTGATACAAGGCATATTATTAATTTTTATGTTATTAGTTTATTTACATTAATATTATTAATATATTATTATTTATTAGATTCCAAGATATTTTTAAAGAACAAATATTAAATGTCTCCTTTCCCTACAAATGGGTAGAATTTTTAATTTTTTTAATACCTGTTTAAATGAGAGATGGTTATGGTGCACCCCACCCCACATCCTCCCCTCCCCCCACCATCTGACCAATGTGATTACCTAAAGTTAATGCCAGTGCCAACCCTTTTTTTTAATACTTACTATTAAGAGTCCTGACTTCAGGTTTAATTGGTTCTGGTCTTCGAAGATTACGTGGTAACTTATTATTTTCAATATGCCATTTCTTCAGACACTGTGGCTGGTGAATTGAGATAGACTTTGTACCAAACTCCCGACTACAGATGTAACATACGACGGTCTGAGGGCGTCTTATCACCGTGCTCTTAGGTTTCTACAAAAAGAATAGATTCTACAGTAAAATCTTGGGAAACATAGCATCATTAAATTAAAAACTTCAATTAACAACTTACAGTATATAGCTTAAATTAAGTTACAAAACGCAACAAAATGCAACGATTAATTCAACAAGGACTCAGGTATTGATTTCAAATACTATGATTATTCATTTTACGTCATAAATCTATTGGCCACAACACAACTAATTGATTCCCCATTATAAATTATTGAATATTGTAATTCTGATAGATGCCAGACATAATTAAGTAATGTATAACATTATCAACCAATACAATAATTAAGATAAAGCATTCTTTATTCAATTATAATAATTAGAAGCTGTTATGATGCACATAATATTAATTTCACTTTATATTTATATTTATTCGTTTATATATTCTATTTACTTATTTTCCGTATTTCTAACTTCAAGCTATTATTTTATAGTTTTGTACTTTGGTACCACAAAATTGTGCATTTCAAAGTGCTACTCTCATCACTCCCTCCCACACCGCAAAAAAACATTGGATCCACCGGTGTGAATATAATGTACCAAATGTTTGATCAAATTATTACTCAATGTACCAACACTGGAAGCTATCATAGAATGTCAGCAAGAGAATTGTTTGTCAATAAATACAAGTTAAAGTTTGTTAGTCAACAGAATTCCACCACAATTACTTTAAGTAATATAGATATATTATGTTTTAAATGAGATTGATAAATGAGGCAGGAAGGAGAAGATGTGTGCCCTGACCCAGGTGTTCCAACACGTACTGACCACCAATTAGTTAGTTGGCATAGCAGGACAAATGAAATGGGAAACACATAGTAGTAAACACATAAATTGAATTTAAAGCAGTGGCATATTTACAGGGGAGAATTACCTCCCCCCCCCCCCCCCCCACCACTTTCACAAAAAAAAAAAAACACCTTAGGGCCTCTTAGGTGAACTCCTACAGAAAATTTTGTAGTTTAAAATCAACTCGTATTGACAGCTAGCTGTCCCGCATTTAATACTTAAGACCTTCCGCACTTCCTTCCCATTTCTCCCCTATTTCAATTCATATTAGCTTTATAATCGTAACCACAAGTATTGTATCCGGTCTTACTTTTAACAAAAGAAATATACACAACACATTATAACTGTAAGCATAATCATGTTAAAGAACATTGTAGTAAATATAAAAGCTAAATCAAATGCAGATCAAAGGTTTACAGGAGAAAATAATTAAGTTGATTAAGGAAAGGCAACATGATATATCTATTGTATAAGCCAGCTTACCTTTTGTGTTTGATGCTAATTGAACGAAGAATTGAAAAAAAGTAAAAAGTATTTATAAAATGCTAAAAACAAGATGAGCAGCAGAAGAATCTACAAAAGTTTATGAATTTGTGTACTTGAATTCACAAGTGAATTAAATTATTTAAATTAGGAATGATAAGTTGCATATCAAACGGATTTGATACATAATATATTCTATTTTTTCCATTCATTATTTCATACCATTTTCACTTTTAACCTCTCTCCTCTTTTTACTTTGCCTTCCATTTCTTCCCTCTCCTCTTTCCTTTCCCACTACTTTATCCTTTTCTTTCTTGTCCTCTATCCTTTTCTTTCTTGTCCTCTATCCCTCCTCTCTTCTCATATCTCATCTCATCCATTTACGCCTTTTTAACTTTGCTTCTTTTACTCCTCAATCTTCTTTTTCTTTTCTCTCACTCTTGCCTCTCACACTCTTTGCTCTCACTCTCTTCTCCTTCTCCTGTATAATGTTTCATTCTTTCTCCCTTCCCTGTTATATCAGCCATCACCACCCTGTTACTCTCTCTCTCTGTTTCGTCTTTTCCTTTTCCTTCTTCTTTCTTCCCTTCCTCTCCTCCTTACATCACTCTTCCTTCTAATATGAACAAACAAAACTGGAAGAGTTATTTAAATAGAATAAAGGGTTTTTCGCTTACGTAATTAGAGGGCTTCAAAGTATCTGGACCTGAGCGAGTGATAGTCCTTGTCCGAGGCCTGCAGACAGCTTCGTGTCTTTCTATTCTCTCAGGCAGAAAAGTCCGTTCACAGTTTTTACATGGAACAAGGTTGCCTTGGCTTGCTTTCCATGCGGCATCATTTATGTTGACACTGGTAGGCAGACCTTTCTTATTGTCCGGTTTCTTTGGCATTGGTCTTTGCATTCCAGGAGGCAAGTTGTCATTCTGTATTGTCCATTTCTTCAAGCATTGCGGCTCGTGAATCGGTAGAGATTTTGTGCCAAATTCACGCCCACATATGTAGCAGATGACAGTTCTTGGCTGGATCAATCGTTGCACTTTTATAATTCTCTTTGATTCGTTTATTTTTGCATCGTTTGCTTTAGTGAATAAAGGATTATTATACTCAACAGACTTTTCTGCATCCATCATCTCTGATGTCATTAATTTTACGCTTCCAGATTTCGACCGGCATATAGATTCATGTTTTACGATGCGGTCTGGCACAAATGTGCGTCCACAGAATGAGCAAGGGACAAGCATGTCATTTGCAGCTTCCTGAGCAGCTTGGTTGTACTCATAATTTCCTGAGGAGTTGATAGCTTGCATTTTGGGTTTTTGTGGTGGTTGTCTCTGTAAATGTTTTGGCAGCTGGCTGTTTTGCAATTCCCATTTTTTTAAACATTGTGGTTCATGAATTGAGATTGACTTAGATCCAAATTCTCGGCCACAGATATAGCACAGAACTGTACGTCGTTTCATCAGAGATGGTCCATGGTTGGAACCGTTGCCAGAATTTTGCCTGCTGGTATAACTTGCAGAACCAGATGCAGATGATCTGGCTGAGTTGTTTCCACTGCGTTTTGGTGGATGAGGCTGAATTTCTGCTCCAGTTTCATCTGTTATTGTCACTTTACTCCTCTGGGATATTGTCACAGCACTAGGATGTTCTAATGTTATAGAACGAGAGCGTTTTGCATCTTGAGGATGTTCAATTTCTTGTCCGCCCCATGAGCGAGATGTGACCTGATGACCTGGTTTTAGTTTGGCACCAGTGGCTTTTCTGCACATATGTTCATGAATGTTGATTCTTTCATGTAAGAAAGTTCTTCCACAATTTGAGCATGGAACCAGTTGCCCCAGCAGGTTCTGGTGAGCGGCTTTGTTAAAACGTTTGATGTCACCATTTGAATTTCCTTTTTTTATGTTTGGTAGAATCTGAGGTTTCACTGGTGTTGGCTGCTGCAGTTCCTTGGTCAATTTCGTATTTTTGTTCTGCCATTTCTTCAGACACTGTGGTTCATGGGTGCCAATAGAGGTGCCACAAAAGTCTCCACCACAGATGTAACAGACCACAGTTTCTGGTTTAAGGCTCGGCATGTTATGTCTGGGTAGTGTAAGCAGTCTCTATTGCAGACAGTGTTTGCTAATCATATTTGATCTGTGAACAAAATATACAAAAACAAGGTAATAAAATGGTACATTATAGATGATATATTTTAGATGCAGGAACAAGAAATATATTAGCACAGAGAAAAAGCCTATAAAAACAGGAGAATAATCTTGAATTGATTCGAAAACAAGTTAATTCTAAATAGTAATACTAATAAGCCCCTAGGTACTGTAGGACTCAACAAAGTTTTTAGTCTAGCATAGCCATTAGCTAGTCTTCTAAATCTATTCTTAGTTAAGGTCCCTAGTCTTGCACGGCCTACTATATTCATCACTTATCTATTCTCCCAGGCCTAGTCCATAATTCTTTATTAGTCTAGATTAATAGTTGCACCACCGGGGGACACGTGTCTACCTACTGTAGGCCTATATACTGGTAGGTCTCAATCCACACCGTACCTCGCACCCACCATCATGACCGACCGGACCCTTGCTAAACCTTAATACAGTATTAATATTATACTATATAGATAGCCTAGTCATGCTAAACTGATCCAGCGTTGGTTGTGATGGTACAATTTTAATCTTTCCTTCTCTGCTTCTTCTCGAAATTTCTTTTGTAAGGACGAAGTATTTCACTTGCCTGTCATTCTTAGGTGTCCGTTACTCTCCACCCTTGTGATTAGGCTAGTGTTGTTTTATGCCGTAACTTCAAGCTTTAATTGCTTTAATCTTCTTTCTTTTGGCAATGTACTGTATCATGGCAACAGAATCATTGCGAAGGCGGTGCTAATTGATTGTTTTTTGAGGGCGCTGTGTCTGATATTTTGTTCCAATGCCAGAGAATACATATCCGCTGTGCCGAGTGATAAATTTTCTCCATGAGTATACATGATACTATAACTTTACATGCAAGGATCGGTGGTTCATTTATTTATTTATTTGGGCACTTTTCAAACAGTGGCACACTTTGAAAGAACGAAGGTGCGTCCTATAAGATTAACGAAAACAAAACCAACAAAAAAAAAAAACATCAACGAAGTTAAAAAAAAAAAAGAAGCTACCAATGAAAATAGGTATTGAACTAAAAAGCAACTTAACACTTATAAAAAGACTTTACTAAAATAAAATTACTGTACTAGCTAGACAAATCACACTTATCATATTTACAGTAGCATCCACATCATACATTTTACCCATTCCCACAGTAATACATTCTTAAGTTATATAGCAATGTAGAAACTAAAGAAAACAATCAATTAAATGAATAACTAAAAAACAAGGCATAGGCCTAGTTAGGGCATGGAATTTATAATTTAATTTCTTACTTTCCACACCATTTTAATGCACCTTTTGCAGGATCTATCAAAAATATCTTCATATTCTCTGTTGATAGGCCCTAGGTAGAGTTGAACATCCCAAAATAGTTTTATTTAGCATTTTATCTGCATTACTTTCGTAATACAGTTCATAGTGGCCAGTTTAAACTAAATATTATTTAGAGCTGAGCTGAACAACTATAAATGGTGGATATCCTCATCAGAATGGATGCTTTAAGTATGAGAGTCTTGCAATTTTCAGTTGTGCTCTAATTTATTTGTATTTATTCTGCTTAGTGAGCACCAAACTGCACACCCATAATTATGTTCTTGGGATTGGTTTTGTTGAGGAGTTATAAATATTTTGAGTTTCTTTTGTGACCAGCTTACTTTTCTTTTGAGTTGGTTTTACCCATAGAGCTATTTTCTCTATTGTTTTATGGTTTTACTGTATTGATGTATGTTGCTGAACGCATCGTTACCTAAATACTGAATTAAACTTTAGGTCTATATAGTTTACAGTGGGGGATCCTGCTGAGGGGCGGCAAAGAGGTAATCACTCCCCAAAGGCAGAATTCCCCCCCCCCCGGTCTAGGCCCGTTGCCACCTGGCCCGTTGCCACCCGGCACCACCCATGGCGGGATTTTTCCAAGCTATGGACGATACTCTTAAATACAATTTTATTTTTATTTTATTTGAACAGCTCAGCAAAACTATTTGCATGTGCGCTGGACAGCACTGACTTTTCGTTGTGGTCTATGCTTTCTTGTCGATGTAGTCGAGAATCGACAAAACCAATTATTGATGTTTATATGTTTCATAGTTGCCACGCATGCGAAAATCCGGAACGCGAATATTCACGATTCATTGTTAAAGAGTTCGTTAACCATCAATCCGTGTAATATATAGGCCTAACTTTGTTGAGATTATCACTGTACAATATTTGTGATTTTCTACGCCGAATGGTTTTCACATGGTGAATTCTCGTTTGACATTTGTTCTTTCATTTGAACAAAATCGACAGTTTACAGTCAAGATAAGCCATAAGATAAACTATAAAAACTGTGAAAGATTTACTAAAACAGGACAGGGAACGTGGCGATCTAAAAAAACAGAAAGATAACGAGAGCGATAAAAATACAGAAAGAAAAGACAATAATTATACTTAGGCCTAGGCCTATATTTGTATATTATTATCATTGTTTGGTTTATTTATTCAAACGCATATAAACATACATGAAAAACATTAGGATAAGCAGACAAATAAAAAATTCTGTTATTTATTCTTATTTACAATTGGCCTATTGGCCTACCTATCGGAATTACTTATAAGTTTTGCTTATTTAATTGCATTACGAGTTACTTTGGTCAATCAATCAATCAATTTATTAGGAATAACACCTTAAGATCGGTGGCACACACAACAATAATTGTGGTGCATCCAACTTAACAATTTTTACAGACAGTGATATAAATTAAAAGCAGGGGTATAAAGAAACACAATTAAAAATAATATGTTTAACTTAATGCTAAACAAAACCTAGAAAATTAATTAACGCAATTGATATAAAAATTCTAACAGGACAATAAAAATCACTAACCTGTATATTAAACAAAAGCAACATAAACTGTAAAATAGATTTAGATTTAAAAATGAAAGACAGAGAAAAGTCAAAAGTGGAACCATTTCAATGAAAAATTGCTTACAGTATTAAGATAAATTATTTATGGAATTATGAAGAGGGATTAAAATTGATATATTTCGGACAATCAGAATGAATAATTGTAAGTTCCTGTAGTATATAATAATTAGATCGGTGGCAACATAATTTAGATATAAAATGTTGAACTTAAAACTAAAAGCAAAACTAACATATGCCTAATACATAGGGATTCAAACAGACCGATAAAACATCACAGCCTGTATACCAAACAAAAGCAACAATTAAGAATATATTTCTATATACCATGTCTTAATGAAAAAATGCTAATAACAAAACAATAGAAAAATAATAAATGTTTACAAAGATAACATTTAAATTATGGAGCGGTAATGCAATTAATATATTTGTTCTAGCTCTCCATAGAGCAACCAGATATTGTTTGCAGTGACGATTTACAATTCCTCCTAATCTTTCATTAGGGAAAAATATGATGCAAAATATGATGCTTAAACTTTATAGTACCATTTACGAAATTATCCCAAAAAGAATGGTATCCATAATATAACAGCTCTTCTTCAAGGTTAAGAAAGTGTTTTTCTCTAACAAATTTAAGACTTTTACATACAAAAAGAAAATGATCAGTACTTTCAAAAGTATCATAGTCACAAAGTTAACAATAACCTGAGCATGTGTGACCAACTTTGCTTTCTACCTTCAAGAGCTAATGAATTACCGTAGTTCTTATTTTAAATTTTAGACTAACCGAGCCAAAATTTACTTTATCGAATAGATAATACTCAGATTTCGGTTCACTTTTATATTTCACATAATCAGATAAGGTTGATTTTGATTTTGCCCTTTCATACCATAATTTTTTTTGGTACCGATTTTGTTCTACCGGTACAACAATGTTTTACAAGAGCGCCATCATTTCTATGAAAAGTTGCGGCCTACACTCCCACTGCAGCTAAAGTGTAAGGCTTTTATCAGGACCATAGGCCTACTTATTTTGAAGTTCTTTATCGAAAATTAGTTAGGTAAAGATGATTTGCTTTTTATGTCTTATTAATAGATGTACATTGAAATTCATTGGATATTTCCAATTCTTTTTATACATGGCGATTATGTTAAACACGAACCACTGGAAATTTCAAGAAGCACGACACAGTTTCATTAGGCAACAATCCAGATCGCTTAGATCCAGATCGATCAGGCCTATTTGAATGTAAAAAACTCCATTTCATGAAGTAAATTTAATATTGTCACCCGTCTTATGATTCATAATCTATCATGAAAAAAATCAATTATTAATTTCCTCATTCAAAATTGAGTTACTTGCCGATATCGGAGTCCATTAGCGTAATGAAAATGTAGACTGTCTGAGAACATGAAAGATGTCGAGCGAGTGCATCGATTGGTCTTCACATTTACCGTAATAGACGACAAAATTTTAGCTCACCATTTCCGACTAGGCTTCTTTTTTTTTTTAATTATACTGTCTGATTAATGCATTGAAAACCAATCAAAATATTTCATTAGTTTTGAAATGGTAAAATAAGTTTATATCATCCTGAATAGTGAAGAAAAAATCAACAACCGACCATAAATCACAAAGTTACACATGATGAAATTTATTTTGACTTAGAGAATGGCCAAGGCGGACAACAACCGAAAATAGGCTTATCGATTCGCTCGCAACAGCATTTTTTTAAAGTCTTTTCCTACGATCATTTTTACTAAAAAAAAACACGGTAGGCTTCACAAGTATAGAATGAATATTCAAGGCTTTGCAATGAAGGGAAACATGTAAAAAAAATTGCACGTTTAAATCTCACTTTTGTCCACTATTGACCAAAGTGTTATCCTCACACGAGAAGGACTATCGGCTGAAAATCTCTAAGAACAACTTCCAATGAAACATTTCGAGACAATTATATTTTCGTTGATTTTCAAATGGATTGATTGGATTGGATTGGATTTATTCGGTGTAAACACTAAGGATAGCCCACGAAAGTCTAGAAGAAGACTCATTTCCAATGGGGTCCTTCTGGTGGTGATTGGGCAGTACACCGGGAGACAATCCCCTACTCTTTTCAAAAACAGTAATATTACATTTACTTTTGTATCTGGAGACTTTCCTCTGAAGATAGCAAAAGTAGTACCAATTTTCAAAAAAGATGACCCACATATGATAAATAATTATAGACCCATTGCTTTGCTTCCTACCTTTGCAAAAATTATAGAAAAACTAATTTACAATCGTTTGTCTTCTTTTTTTATTAAAAAAAATATTTCACATGACAATCAATATAGCTTTCGCTCAAAACATTCCACAAATATTGCAGTTTTACAAATGTATGAAAAGTTAACTAATTCTCTTGCTAAAGGGCATCATACTATAGGTGTTTTTCTTGATTTATCGAAGGCCTTTGACACCATTGATCATAACATATTATTATCTAAATTATCCCACTATGGTGTCAGAGGCCTTCCTCTCAACTTATATAAAAGACTATTTTGCAAACAGACACCAATTCACTTACTTTAACTCTTCTAAATCTCATATGTTGCCTCTAAATTGTGGTGTACCACAAGGGTCAATTTTGGGCCCCCTATTTTTTCTTATTTATCAATG